AATATAATAATAATAATCCTTGCATTTGATACAGTGCTTTTCACGTCTTCTAGACGTCCCAAAGCGCTTCACAGAATATACTGCAAAGTAAATTGACTGTATATTTGTGGGCGAACGCGGCAGCCAATTGCGCACAGCAATGTCCCACAAACAGTCGTAAATTGAAAATGACCAATTTATTATTGTTTTTTGTTTTGGAGGGATTATTATTAGGTGTGTGGAGTAAGGAAACTTGCCCAAGGTTTCGCACTGCCTGGAATTGAATTCAGGTCTCTCGCTTGCAAAGTGAGTGCTCTAACCACTGAGCTACAGGACTCCAATATACAGTCAATTCACTTTATAGCATATTCTGTGAAGTGCTTTGAGACGTCTAGAAGACGTGAAAAGCGCTATATCAAATGCAAGGATTATTATTATTATTATAACAAAGCAGTGCCCTGCTTCTGGACTCAAATCACATAAGAAATGAGTGGAAATAAGATCTGGTTATGCTTGAATTTATTACAGAATGCAAGTAACATCAAATCTTAAATATTTACAACAGGAAAGGATTCATATATTGTAAAATGTATGGCTTTATCATAGTGGTGATGTCTAAAGTTCAGCGGCTTGCATTGCTACCAAATGGAGTTATAAGCTGCTTTGCTTATGTAACTTTGCTTACGCTTTGCTGGGTGTCTTGTTTGACCTGAACTGTCCTTTCTCCCCCACATCTGCGCCATGACCGGCACTGCCTACCACCACCTCCACAACATTGTCAGACTCCGCCACTGCCTCACCCCTCAGGCTGCCGAAACCCTCACCCATGCATTCGTCACATCAAGGCTCGATTATGGAGCCCCAGGATCCGTGACCCCATCACTCCCACCCTCGCCCGACTCCACTGGCTCCCCATCCCCCAGTGGATCGAATTGAAGATCCTCGTCCTCACTTTCAAGGCCATCCATGGCCTTGCCCCCTCCTATCTCTCTGAGCTGTAGACTCCCTGCTAACCTGCCCGCTCCCTCTGTTCATCAGGCTCCAGCCTGCTCCATGTCTCCCGCCCGACCCGCCCTACCATCGGTGGCCGGGCTTTCAGCCTCTCTGCCCTCACACTTTGGAACTCCATCCCACAGTCCCTTCGCCTCGCTTCCTCCCTCGCCTCCTTCAAGATCAGTCTCAAGACCCTGCTCTTCGATCGTGCCTTCAGTTGCCCTTCCACCTCTCTGCCTTCCCTCCCCCCTACCTCACCCCTCCCGCATGCTCAGGTCCTGATCCCTGACTGTCCAGCGCCTTGGGACGTCCCCGCAACGTGAAAGTCGCTCTATAAATGTAATTTTGTTGTTACCTTAGGACACATGTTGATTCATATAACATATTTTATGTTTCATGAATCAACCTTCATAAAAGGGAGATCAGTACTCTCTGCAGTCTCATTCTCTGAATCATTCATAATCAAGGTGGGAAGGGTTTTTGAGCTAATAGTTCTTTTCATAATTTAACATGGACAGTCAAAATAGCAGACAAATTTCCCAACTTAAAAAGTAAAATTATAATCTGGTTGTGTTATAACATAATGCTGAAAGCTTTTATTTTTAAGATCCACATGAAGCAAAGTGTTTGATAAGAAAAATAACATATAGCCACGAGCTAACTTAAGAAATGTTTCTACAAAGAATTCTGACCAATTATAAGAGTAATAGGGAAGGGGAGCAGCCTAGTCCATGTACTGTATATGGGAACAGAGAAAGATTACGTGGCTGATGGAAAGCAAAAATGAGCAAAGCTCTTCTTAGGAACACATTCTCCCATTAAGTTCTTCCTCTGCACAATGTTTAGAGTGGATAGAAGATTCACTGACTAAATATATCAAATTCATCAATTGATCCACCTAGACCCCAATACCCTGCATGTAAATAAAAACATATAAGAATTAAGTTTTAAATAAAACTCCACCCAAGCAACTTCATAGATTAATACATTTGAACTAAAATACAATTCAATAGCGTTCCACTGCAAGAAAAATCACTACATTTTGCCATATGATCTATGAAGCACTTTGAGATGTCCTCCCGCGTGAAAGGCACTGTATAAAATGCAAGAATTATTATTCATTATTATTATTAAATGGATTTCACAATTGTATATTAAGGCAATAGCTGGTAAATGAATATACATCCCCACGTTTCTGATTCTTTGCAAGCGAGAGTTGTAATGGTGTTTAGGGCCATTTTGGGCTTCATGAGAGTAAAACTGGTCCTAGTGCAGTCCACGAGGCTTTGGAGAAAATTTCTTACATAACTGATTAAAATGGATAAACTGTGAAGCATCAGTTCTCGGTTTGGCAGAATTGGTTTCCAACTAATCCTCTCATCACTATTTTTGAAATTGCGACTTGTGAGCTCACTCTAAATTGTTAAGATTAATGCACTTTAGCACAACTGCAAAGATCCAACGTTTATTAACACAATATGCCATATGAAATGATGATTCTCTATTTCTGGCTTAACCCACTGCACTCAACCTACAATGGGTAAAAAAAAATTGAATGTTGTGACGAAATCCTGTCTTTGCAGTATCAATTAGTACAGATAAGCTCATCACACTCAATTTGATTTTTAATTCATCCCTTACTAGCAAACTTTGTGTCTGTCCCTCAAGTTTGCAGGTGTATCCAGGAAGTTAGTTTCCTCTTTAGAACCCTAAGATGAAAGTTCTTAAGGCATTTGGAGTTGTTTCATACTCACAAACAAAATGAAATATGAGTCACAATGCAGTATCCTGCAAACACTGAAAAATTTAACATTTTCTAGGCTGAGGTTTGAAGAATGAAGTTTATTTTGCATTATTTATATGTGAAACCAGACCACAGACTAAATGTAACTTACCCAAGAGAATTTTTTTTCAGCTTGCTGCGGTCAGTGTCGGTGCTTTTACTAAAACCTATTTCACTTACGGAAATTATTTATAAAGTACAAAGATCTCCAAACACATCTCCCACCAAGGCCTCCATTTCAGCCAAGTCTTTGGTTTCATTTACGTACGTCACTCTACTGGTATGTGGACTGGTGCATCAGTTAGAACAACCTGAAATGCAAGTTGCAGAATGTTCCAAAAATTGTTGTAGATCATGTAAACAAAGAGCACCTGTGTATTTCATGAGTGAAATGCAGCAGGCAATCGCACTACAGCAGGAAAGAGAAATGGGTGGGGAGCTCCTCCTTTTGGCACTGAATGCTGTCTGGCAGGTTTACCAAAGAGCTGTTTGTACATGTCCAAAGGTCTTCGTTGCCAAGGCAAACGCAGAGAATTTTTTTTTTTTTTTTTAAAAACAGATCATTAACAACAGTTCATTGCTTGTGTCTTGCTGTACAGATATAGAAATGGTATAGTATTTTTAGCAAGTTCATTGCGCAAAGCCACATTTAAATTGAAAAATAGAAATATTGTACATTATAATTGTCTCCTTTAAGTGCATAATTATATGCAGTCTCACTCATTTCAGGTGTTAATTTGCAATAATTCTACATTGTAAATCACTTTGAATCAGATGTTTAGAAGTAATTTTATGTTTAAATAACTGTAGGAATAACACTTAGATTACAAAGGTTACTTCAATCTAACTAAATTATTTTAATTTTGATTACTTTAATTGTGCTCACCTTTGGACAACACAAGGGATTGTTTATTGAAGGTTTACCCATTCAAATGTTTCCTGTGGAGGTTTGGTGGCTCATATTGTATTGAGCCACCTAACCTTCTCTATTTGTGCTGGAAACTGTGGGTATATGATACAAAGAAAAACATTATTTTTAAATGAATTGCCAGATTCTGAATCATGCATTTGCAACCCTCTTCAATGCAGTGTTTTGCTGTACAGATATAGAAATTGCATAGTATTTTTAGCAATGGCATAGTAATACTAAAAATAATTATTGTATTTGATATAGCGCTTTTCACATATTCTAGTAGTCTCAAAGTGCTTCACAGAATATACTGTAAAGTGAATTGACTGTATATTTGTGGGAGAAACATGGCAGCCAACTGCACACAGCAGTGTCCCACAAACAGTCGCAGTATTGAGGAATTGGGGTGAAAGTAATCACTTTGACTGCAGCATGGCAGATTTAAGAGTTCCATTTTCTTCCCGGTCATCATAAGGTGTATATATAACATTTGCCCAGTTAAGCGGAAGGGAGGAAATCCATTTCCAATCTCACCTTGAATTAGTCACAAGAAAGTACATGTGACTAGATGAGACGGGGCAGGGGGATGAATTGAATTGTGGATTGAAATACTAGATCTGGGTTTCTGATCAGATAGTGGTGATGTCTAAAGTTCAGCTGCCAGCATTGCTGCTAAATGGGAGTTTAAGAAAAAGAGAGATTTCCTGGCTTAAGCATGTCAAATTTAGGAGCATTTTCTTTTAGCAATGGCATTGTGTAAAGGAAGAAGGAAGCCTAAAAACATTTGCCTCACATTGAGAGTGAAGGGAACAAGTTTTAGATAGTTATTAAGAAATTTAAAAAAACATTGCGTCTCCCTTCCTGAACTGCAAGAGATGACCGGCACTCAGCTACGGCTCACAAGTTTTGTCAGAATAATCTTTCCCAATGATTCTCCTATTCATTTTCATGATGAACCAGTAAAACAAAGACCTGGGTTCAATTCTCAGCAGGGTGAAACTTTGGGCAAGTTTCCTTAGTCCACATGCCTAATAATAATCCCTCAAGTAAAAAAAAACAATAAATTGGTGATTTTCAATCCACAACTGTTTGTGGGACGCTGCTGTGGGCAATTGGCTGCTGCGTTTCGTCCACAAATATACAGTCAATTAATTTTACAGTATATTCTGTGAAGCACTTTGAGACATCTGGAAGATGTGAAAAGCCCTATATCAAATGCAAGGATTATGATTATTAACCTGTTTTATGAGCAAGAGATATTTATTTAAACAGCCTGAAATGCAAGTTCCAGAATGCTCTAAACATTGTTGTAGATCATGTAAACAAAGAGCACAATTTTCTTCGTAAATATAGTTTAATAAAAAAAATCAACTGGAAACAAAAAGCCTTAAAATGAACAAAAGAAATGAAATCTCAACACAAAACGCCTACATGGAATTTATAAGTAGTTTAAGGCCCACAAACTCATTCCATTAACAGCCCTTGTGCTGGTTCCATATACAATTCCATTATTTTGCTCCCACAGCAGTGTGTATTTTCTGCAAAAACAGAGCAAAATGTTTTGCATTTGTTCCCTGCCACCATTCTTGACATACTGCACATTTACGCAACCTTCACAGATGCAATTATCCATGGCATTTGATTCCAAATTACAGTTTTTCTTTCAAGAATAGAAGGCTGTTCCACATCTCAATGCCTAAGATAAACACTTAGTCGCAAAAATCAAGTACCCAGTGTGGCCCGCCATCTCTCTCAGAGGTGCACCACTTTTAAACTGAGCAGTGCTCTGCTGTGAATCAGTGCAGCTCTCTGCCTTCGATTGGTTGCTGGCATCAGCTGGTGTGTCCTGGATATTTTTATCCTCTGCCCCAAGGTCAGGTAGCTGGAGGTTGATAGTCCTGACGTCGTACACGCGGAGAAGAATTTCTAATGTATCGATATCTACAAAGCCATTCTCACTCATAGCAAGGCAGGTTCGCTGCACTTGTTCGATGCAGGGAGAGAAAGAACAGATCCTTCCACCTGCAAAAAAAAAANCTGATCATCAATTTCTTCACCTTACACAAAATACAACCTTGCTTCAAACCATGTGGAGCTACAGCTCTCCCATCTACCTTTCTCGTCATGTTCACCTTATTTTTATGCAATTTGTTTTCTCTTCCCTTTCGTGGTGGTTATTTTAATTATTTAAAAGAAACATTTGATTCACAAGAAAGGATTGTGAAAATGTGGAAACCACCCCAAATTCAACTGGGACGTTTTTTGAAAATGGAAATACTATAGATACTGTACTTGGGAAGTTAATGGTAAAAATAGATTAAGGGATGTCAAGAAAGGGCAGCGATATGAGATAAAAAGATGTGTACAATGGTACAAAAAAAGCAAAATACTGCAGGTGCTGGAAATCTGAAACAAAAACAGAAGTCGCTGGGAACACTCAGCACATCAGGCAGCATTTATGGAGAAAGGAAAGTGAGTCAACGACCACTTCATCAGAATCATTACTATGTTTCATTCACCAAATTGTTTTATTCAAACTTTGATCTCTTTTACACTCACATCTTTCCTCCCTATGGAGAAGAATGGCAAGGTTGCAACTGCTTATGGTGAGAATGAGCATGGTTGCAAAACAAGCTTTGCTGAAGATTATGAAAGATGCTCTGCAAACACAGAAACCAAGATTGTATCTGGTTTGAGTGCAGATACAAAATAATGTAATTGCTCATAAAAGAAGTGGTTGACTGAATTTAAAAAAGCCACCTTATAGGGTCCATCAGAGACTTCACAATAAATCACCATCAGAGTGTAAACACCTTAAAGTCCTATTCTTTTCATAGATTCATCTCGATATAAGTCTATCACAATTTTTTGGAGGGTAAAAAAGGAAAGATGACTTTTTTTCTGCAGTATAAAAATATTTCCCAAATCATTTCACCCAATTGGAAGCTATTTTCAACTTCAATGCCTTACAACTGTACAGTATTTTAAAAGTCAAAATAGCAGAGTTCAATTTGTAAGAGTTAATGAATGTGTCAATTTTGAAGCGTGGATTTAATTTAATGATCTGCATTACATATCCACAGAGAGAGAAAAGAATAAAAGGATTTTTGAATGAATGAGTTAAACAAGTATTCAAGGTATCGTCAATGGAAATCCTACTGCCATTTTCTAGAGCATTTCCAGACTGCTTTGTACTGTCCTAAAAAGGCATATATATATTGAGTTCTCTGATGGGAGGAATACTGTATGTCATTTCCCTGGGTTGCTAAATCAGGTAGCTTTTGATTTAATTTTAAATTATTGATTTTTGCAAGGATTTCACCTTATATGTAAAGATTACCCAATAAGATCATATTGGTGTAAAGTTCATATTGGTGGATATTTAAATATATTAAAGAAACACAAGGTTAATACAAAACAAAATCGAGGAAGAAAAAACAATCTAACAAATCTCTTTAATGCCATTGCTTTCTATCCAGTCTAAAATTCATCATGTCCTTCAAAGTGACACATGCATTAAAAAAAATTGATTCTTGAATAGGAAGGGTGTGTATCATTTCTAACCCTCAATATTGAATTGCCTTTTGCCATTCATAATTGGACTTAAATTTCCACCCGTGTTGGCACAAAGTCACCCTTTTCACCATGACTGAGGCAGAAACGGATTACCTGCAATGCCCCAACCAAATCAGATCAAGTATTTCCAGTAAAGACAATTCCCACATGAAATCCTGGTCTTATGACTCCAACTCCCTGGGGATTGTTTACTTTGAAAGCAAATTTCATTTTGCTTACCCTTCAGTACCAATGCAAAGATTAAGAGTGGGTATAAAGGTTAAAGATAAGCGAGATTTATTCTCTTTGCAGCTCCATAGCACTTACTGATTTTTAAAAAAAAATTCTATAATCCAGTTCGACAGCAATGAAGTTCCGAGAAAACAGCTTCACGTGAAGAACTGCATTGTACAGTATTCTCTAATCAAGCAATCATTTTCAATTACATCCAAGTACAATAATAGATGGTCCTGTATATTTAACTCAAATTGAAGCAAAGAATCTCAATGGATTGAGACTCCACAAGTCTTCTGATAAATTATTGTTTCTACAATCTGTCAAGAGTCGGATTTTCACAACCACCAAATATGTTTCTAACAAAAAAGCATATTACAGACTGATAAAATTATATGAATGGGACACAAAGTAATTGCTCCCCCATGGAGTCCTGTAGCTCAGTGGTTAGAGCACCCGCCTTGTAAGCAAGACACCTGGGTTCAATTCCAGGCAGGGTGAAACCTTGGGCAAGTTTCCTTACTCCACACCCCTAATAATAATCCACCTCCAAAACAAACAAAAAAATTGGTCATTTTCAATCCACGACTGTTTGTGGGACACTGCTGTGCACATTTGGCTGCCGCGTTTCGCCCACAAATATACGGTCAATTCACTTTACAGCATACTGTGTGAAGCACTCTGAGACGTCTAGAAGACGTGAAAAGCGCTATATCAAATGCAAGGATTATTATTATTATAAGAGTTCAGACAGCTTCAAGTGATTTTTTTCTTCCCACTACCTTCAGCTCAGATCTTCTACAACATGCACCAAAAGGATTCTGAGATCAAGAATTCAGATAAACTTGGACTTTGGATTTTTATAATGTTCAAAATTCACATCTTGTCAATTGGACTTTCAAAAGTGCAAGGGAGTAGGGAAGCTACTGAAACTAATCGTAGACACATAATCTGCATCATCATCTCCATAACTCAGCCTTTACCTATCTCAATGCTCAGGGTTCAATACCATTTTTATTTTTTAAATTACACAACATGAAGCCTCCACGTTATGACCTGATGATTTTCTGTGACCTCAGCTACAAAAGGTTAATCTCAGGAAATCTGTATTCAGACACCATTCTGAGTTAAGCTCCTGTACAGAAGCCAAGATCTTAAGAGAAGTCAAGGTCATATCCAGACACTGAAGCTTGCTCAGGAGAAAACAGTTAATATAAAAAGTCATTAAGTGTGAAGAGAGAGTCAGAGACCGTGATGAAAAAGAGAGCGAGTGACTTTGTAGAGGATTGTTGCTGAAACAGCAAATTATCACAGCCATACTGCTACATAAGCACAGTATTGCTCATCACTTGTCAACAACAAATGGCACTTGTAAAGAAAGACGTCCCAATGGCGCTGGACAATCAGGGGTTTTGGACCCAAGCTGGGAGTTGAGGTTAGGAGGGGTGGAGGGCAAGGGGGGTTAGTCGATTGGTTAGTACAAATGCTAACATCACTATTAATGCTTTGAGCCGCAATAATTCTCTGTAAAATCTTGAAACTAAATTTCAAAATACTGAATTGAAATAGTTGCTAAAAACTGCTCCAAAATAAAAGTATGATGGGAAAAAACATTGGGTGGCTGCTGAGATTTAGGATTTAATTACACGCATAGAATAAATAGACAATGATAATGCGTTTGGATTCACTCGGTCGGGTACAACCTTATAATCATGTTCATGTCCAGCACAGTTGACAGTTGTGAGTGTAGGAAAATAGTTAATAATAAATAATCCTTGCATTTGATAATCTTTAACGTCAAAACATGTAAAAGGACTCAACTAGGAATTACTGGTCAAGAGTAGTCACTGTATTTGTAAACACTCTCTCGAATGTATCTAATGGTATTTAAATGACATTTGAGAACTCATCCAAATATTTAACTTTCAGTACAACTGCAAGGGGGCTTTAAGCTTTTTTTTGATAAACAAGGAAATGCAATATCATTTGTCTTTTGTCACCAAACAATAACAATTTTTCATGTCAGGTATGGCAAAAGCTAATTTCTGTATTCTGGTTTAATTGATCCAAAATGGATCTGAATTGAGCTTCAAGAAAAAAAAAAGAAAAAAAATGTCCAACTCTTGTACGCATACTATTCAGCCCCTGGGAAAAAGGAAATGGAATTTATATCAGTCACTCTAATTTAGAGTGGGGTAGAATATCAGGCTATTTTGGTCGAGTGCCTTGGGACGTCCTTCTGACTTGAAAGGCGCTATACAAATGTAATTTGTTATTGTTGGGGTGTTGGATGACATCCAGAATTCCCAATATAGCAGGTCACCTATCATGGCTGTGTCATTTGGTGGCAGCACAGGCCAGAGGTTAGGCAACATTACAGAAACTAATAATTCTAAAGATTATTGCAGCCACCTTCATGCACCTCAGCACATGGTTATAGTGGCCTGAGAACAGGTTCCTCCAGTCCCCATTCTCTTAACTGACTGTGACTGTTACTCTCAGATAGACATTATTTGACCAAAGTTTTCTGAAGTCCAATTTCATCATTATTGACTTGGCCATTGAGCTCTGTTTCCATCACACAACATGTTCACAATGAGATTAGTTTGAGTACAATCAATTTTGCCTAGCTGACCTTTGAAAAGTTCACTGAATAGTTGTTATGAACTATTATTGGGATTCCAAACCTTAAAAGCATCACAAAGTCAATCAATCTAAATAACAACTATTGATTTCCCTAAGTTCTTGGGAACGCGTCCAACTGACAAATCCTAAACTCCCATTTTTTTAAAAAACAGAACGCATGTGTTTCTGTGGCAGTCTGCAGTGACAAAATTCAGGCTGTCATTTTGAGGATCTCATTAGATGAAGATTTAAAACAGTTCAAGGGATGAACTGAGGTGCCTTGTTGTCTGGCTGAAAGAACCTGAAGGCAGCGAACAACATAAAGAGGATCTATAAATAAGATGGAAAGAAATTTAAGAAGAGATAAATAAGCCAGGCAGATGCCAAATCACTAACAATAAAGCACGAGTGTAAAGCCAACATGCTCCAAGATCATGGCACAAGTGCACCATCCCTGAGAATAGGAGTGAGAAAGAGCCACTCTCTTACCTTCAATCTTCAGGGCAGATTTTGCGTATACAATAGCCTCCCAAGGAGATGGAATATCCAAAAACACAGCATCCGCAAGGTTGCTGACTCCAAATCCTTCCTTACAGACATCTTGGTTTTTCACCGTGACCAAGTGGTCGACCTTATGATCACGGAATTCCTCTTCAGCTTTCTCCGCTCGCTGTTTATGAAATTCCACCGTATACAGGTGGCCTGTTGGTGCAATAGTCCTGATGATAGCATGAGACAAAGAGCCACTTCCTGTACCTGCAGAAAAAGATGGGTTGCTTTTTAACTGAACATATTTCATTTATGGTCTCTTTTACATAAGAACAGGAGCAGACGATTAAATACGTCTCATGTTTATTACTAACTTCTTTGCTTTTCCTCCCTACTCCCAATACCATTCTTATCCATCTCCCCATTAAACATCTCGATTCTGCCTGAGCGGTATTCTTTACTTTGTAACTAAAATTATTTGCATTTAATAGTCAGGGAAATCGATTCTTATGGTCGGCGTTATATTTTTTAATATTGCAGGTTTTCTCAAGCGTTAAGTTTCTTTCCATTGTCACTGGTGCTTTTGTAATGGTTGTAATGCATTGAGTTAAAACAGGATTACAATGCAAGTACAACATGCTAATATAACCACAACAGGACTTCTATCAAACAACACAATGTTTTAGCAACCTTTCTGGTATTTGGACACTTGCCTAATGATAAGAAACCCACAAATATCATTTAAGATAACTGAGACTCAGCAATCTTTTTGTGACTAAACTTAGCTTTAAGGCTATTAAAAAGGTGAACTAGGAAGGAAAGCTGTTCAAGAACCATTTTGTATTTCCTTTCATCTTTTCAAACTTGTCCTTGGCAACAGAAATGACAGTGATTCTGGAAGCAGCCAAGGGGAAGACAATGCAAACGGTTTATATCTTGTGAGTTAATAGGTTTTTTTGCACATCAGCTGAAATGGTCAAGCCACTCAACCCCAATTTCACCGGGTACGTTACATCACAACAGATCAAACGGCAGTGAGCAGTGCTCATTGTGTTTTGAATTACTGTACATCCTGGTGCCGTACGACTGTTAGTAGAATGCTATTGCTTTCACATCCAGCGGGTTTAACCTTGTTGCATCTTTTGGAACTCAACACTGGTCTCCTCTGAACCTTTTCCCACAGAGGGGACGCATTCAGAAAATTTTCCTTTGCAGTTTGTTGTGACACTCAGTTATCTGGAGCACAGTTTTGTATCCCAGTTCCCTGGACAGTTTGTTCTAATTGGCCATCAGAGAGAGTCACAACTGTGGCAAACGACATGGGTTTCAATTGCTCTAAAACATCTGCATGTTGTATATCTATATATATATAGCAGGATAGAGGATTACTTTAGGAAATAAATTACTAATTGAAAAGGTAGTCCAATAAAACATTTGAGGTAGTGGCTCACATATACCTTGTCCACTTATTGTTAACAAGCACGGTGAAAGCAGCTCGATTTATGCTATGGGGAGAAATTTTGCAGCAATAGTATGGTTTGTTAATCTGACATCTTGTGCAGAGAGAGGTACTGCTCAGGCTAACAAAGCCAAGAGAACTTAATGTAAACTGGTAGCAGCAGGTGTAGAATACACATTTTCCCACTATTATTACAGCCCTCAGAAATACAGGATAGTGTCTTCTGCTCAATTGGATTTAACACCCTTTGTCCCACTGTTGCTAAGAGAACAATGTTTATTCAGACAACGTAATTTAAATGTAAATCAATGTATCAACAAAGTGGAAGACTGTGGCAGATGTTTAAAGTTTAAAGACAAAAAAATTACATTCAGGAACTAAATAGCATGATCATTTTAAATTCCTAAGCGTAATATGCACAAGCTTCTTGATATAAAGCTTTTGTTTTACTGTCCTGATTTAGATTCTTTCTTATTTCTGTTTATGTAATGAATTAGGACAGGACCACAATATACAAATTAATGACTGAGCTAAACTGAACAGAAAATTACCAATATCACAATCCCAGATGCAAAGATACAAATTTCATACTTACAATCATTTTCACAATATTTTTGCCACACAAAAAAACCCTGATTTGTAAAAAAAATAAACCAAGTTACAGAATTTCAATCAAATACAGGTGAATGCAACACTGAAATACGAAAATTCCTGGCAATGTTCAGATACAGATGAATCGTCACTTAGCCCAAATTTATTCCAAGTCCATTACATAAACAGAAATAAGCAAGGAATCTAAATCAGGACAATAAAACGAAAACTAGCCAAGTTTTAGATCAAGAAGCTTGTGCATAGGAATTTAAAATGACCCTGCTTAAGGACCCCACTAAAATGAGTTACTGTAAAAGTATTTAAAAATATTTCAAAGTGATTTGAAGGGCTTCTCCCCTTTTATATTCCCTCACTTAGCAAATCAGCTGCTTCTGAAAGCACCATCTGTGAGAACCACTTGAGCGATCTCCTGCAGCTCACATGATCAGGCTGAAAACTACTGACATCATCCACGCCTGAATAAGCGCTCATAATCAGGCAGCCTCAAGTGCAAGGTTTTCTCCTCCCTAATCCCACTACCAAAAAATTATTTTGGAGACTTTATGTTTACGTGTAAGCACGCGTCTGAATCCACAATAGACTGGCGGCTAATTAGAGAACACAAAAATAGCCAAGTGCTTAATTCATTTCTACAGCTCTTCCGGATTTCAACCTTAAGCCATCGTACACCAAAGTCATTACCAGGAACACAGTAGCAATGGACGATTGAAGTTGGTCCAACGAATCATGTTCAAAATAAAACAAAAATACATCTTACACTTCAAGTCGATTTCTTCACCAAATGGCTCTCGAATTTCCCGTCAACTCTAGTTTGAAATCCCTACATTGCAGCTTTTGAACTTGGAATATAATCCATTGTACACTACAGTTGAATAAGCTTTTATATAAAAATCTTCAACACTCATAGAGCTCATTCAATCCTCTCATCCTTTTTGTTACTAACTCACCAATCAGCTGAAACAGTACATCTCTTTCTCTATTTATCCATGAATACCTTGGTTTGAATCTCATCCTCACTTAACCTTCAAACCTTCACTGTTCCAGCAAAATAAGTGGATCATAAAGCCAAGCTCATGTTTTAAGTCTATAAAATGTAGCAGAAAGACATTCCTAAGGAATTGCCACATGTTAACTTCTGATAAAGAATAGGCTCGTAATAATAATAATGGCTCAAAGTGCTTCACAAGATTTACTGTAAAGTGTAGAGACTATGTTTCAGCAAATCCAGCAGCCAAATGCTATACAACTTTATCCCATAACAGCCATAAAGTGAACGACTTTATCCAGGGGAATTGTTGGCCAGAACACTGAAGGAACTCCCTTCTTTTTTTCAAAATGTATTATGGGATCGTCACCATCCATCTGAACAGAACCTCAGTTTAACGCTTCACAAAATGACAAAGTAGTACCATCCCAGCATTGCACAGGAATGTCAGCCTAGACTATGAGTTAAACGTTTTCAATGGGGCTTGAACTCGTGTCTTTCAGACTGAGGGGTGAAAGTGGTGCCAACTGAACCAGGCTGAGACCTTACTGTAGTAGATGGATTTCAACACAATGAGGATAAATAAANGATAACAATTCAGAAATGCAATGTACTACATGCAAGGTGTTGCAAGAGTCTCCCCAGATATGTTGACATCAATATTCTTGTACAACTCTTAAAGTGCTGCAAGGAAATTGCACAAGAAGAAACTAAACTTCCTTTTGGCAGCTTTAGCGAAAAGCAATTTATTTTGATAACAGGAAATAAATTAGCCCAGAATTTTAGAAGTTGAAGGATCAAAGATAAGAGTTTCAACGCCAGGTTAGTATTTCTGTGGATTGGGGAATCAAAGGTAAAAGATGGTAGAACTGGGTTGGAATTTCAGTAGATAGATCAAAGGTAATAAATGGTAGAGATAAGAAAAGGTAAGAGGTGAAAGGTTCGCTTAGATTTTCAAGACATATGAAGAAACAGTGTTAGAAGGCTATTCGTCCCAAAACTTGTTTGGGATTCAACCATTTGCACTGTGAGAGAAATCAAGGTTGTGAGCAGTGAGAGGGTATGAAGAAAGTTAAGAAACATAGAGCAGAATCACTCTTTCTTATGTTTCACATGCCTTAGAGAAAAATGATTCCCCTTAGGTTAGGGACTTATTTGGGCTGTGGAGTCAATACATGTTCCAAACAAAACAATGAATCAAAAAATGAAGAGGAAAATTACTGCACACCTGGTGAAAGAACAGCTATGTTTGAGTTATAGGTATCATTGGTCACAGCACCTGGAATTGATCTGAACAATTTTCATTTGTTTGCACCTAGCGGATCCTTCACCCATAATAAAAGCTAGCTAGCAACCTCTCCAAAACATTTTAATGGTTGTTACGCAGTAAGTGGAAAACATAGATTTTGAAATAGTTTTAAATGTAGTGATTGAAACCATATAATGCTAGACACATTCTTTTGTATTTATGCCCCTTCTATTTTCAGTGATGAGCTGGGTTTTTTCATCATTCACTTACATTATTACAAGGTTGGGGCTCTGTGCATATGGAGAGTGCTTCTCATTATCCCAAAAACCGACAGGGACATTCTTAACGATTGCAAAAAAATGAGAGACAGTCATTAAAAGTGAAGTGGTAGCAGCAAAGACATCTAGGATTTTCAAACAGTAAATCAAAAACTGCCTTTTACTTTTAAAATAAAAATATTTTTTGATGGTGCTTTATGTCTCTTGCATAATTCAGTCAATGTCAATTGATATTGCTAATTAACCTCACTAGCAGTGTATGCGCATTTGTGGGTTCTACATCACATTTCTAGTATTGGGCTGGTCTCCTCTGTCTCATGATATATTGGTCTGGTCTTTCTTGCTGTCTCTACATCAGCAGTATAAAAGGCAGCATTAACTACAAGTATAAGACATGTATAGTCTGGATATTTCTATTAAATGTAAACATTTTAATCAATTTGCTGAGTGTACTTTTTTTAAAATATAAAATGCAGCTATTGCAACTGTTACTAAACTGTGCTATCCAAAACAATCTCAGATTCAGTGGACATTCTTACTCATCATAGATTCCTCTGTGCAAGGAGCCATCAGTCATCCTCCTACACAGATGGAAAAAAAACCTAGAGGAGTCTGTGAAACTGATAGAGATCAGTGGTGGTTTGTGTAAGCAGAACGGGGAGACTTTGATCAATATTGATCAGATCTTTGGCACAGTATAAAATCCATGTTGCATCATTCATCAAAGGTCAGGAGCAATGGAAATAAAAGCAATAACTAATTTCACTAATGTTATTGATGAAAACTGGGGCTGTATAAGTAATGGAGTAGTTGATCAATTGTGAAGCAATTTTGCCATGGGGTGGGGGGTTGGGAGAAGAGTGGAAAAGGAGAAAACTAATCCCAATGGGGTTCTGATGGAAGACTGGTTCAGCACCAAGGGAATGAACAGCACAGTCATTTAACAACTAGCAAAGCAAGAAGAAAAAACAGTTGGGCACAGATGTAAATATGCCTGCGAGTTAGACGAGGCATGATAACCCAGTGAAAACAATTAGTCAGTCAGTGCCATAGTTCAAAAATTAATGCAAACCCAATCAAATTTATCAGGTTTGTTGCATTCATATTCCAATCACTGTTACATTTCAATAACAAGTTACGAGCTCGCTGTCATCTCAATCCAAGGCATTCAGTGATTGTTGTAGACGTCAATCTGGCATTGATTTTACAACTATAAACATTTGCTACTGACAGTTAGAGCCACTCTGATAGTAGGAGAAACAAAGTGGTTTTGCGATTGCAGCCACAGTATTAACCATTTAAGGACTATTGTACAATTGACACAATAAAAAAAACTATTTCTCTTTACTGAATGTTCATATTTTGCCCTTTACAACGTTCTGCTAGCACAACATAGGATGTAAAGTGAGGTTTTAGGATTCCTCTAGTCACATCTAATAGAATCTCCCCTTTTCCATGAAACAATGAAGATCCTTAAAAACAACTAAGCATTTTGGTGCGCCCAACATGCAATCAGATACATACTATCTACAAGGTTACGCAGCAGCAGGGAACTTTACTTTTACATTCACAAGATCCTACTATAATTAATACATTTGATGCAAAGTATAATAAGGCTGACAAGTTCTTTCATAGTAAAAACGGCAAATTTCTACAATTTAAGAACACAAATAATGGGATTTGAAATACAATAATACAAAGCAGAAGTCTTTGCATTTAATTGCAATAATAGGTTGCAAGATTCACAAATTGATGAGCAAAGTCTGAAAAGTGAACAAGCTCATGCTAGTGTGAAACTGGTTTGCAATTATTGCACACTAGACCCAATATTACAGTCAGTTTCTTTTTCCTATATGGAGATACTATAACAGTGATCGAGAGACATGAAGAATAGTGTGCAGTACGACCCTGCTTTAAGGTCATATTTCACAGCATTGCGTTATCACAACAAGGGCTGTCTGTTCATTAATTTTCAACATACACATGGGTTACAAACTTGCAAAAGATATAAAAATATAGGAGAAGCATTGCATTGAGACTAGTCCACATCACACCAGATCACAAATCTTGAAAATTAAACCATTACAATCAATGGGACAATCATTGATTCCTGCAAAGGTTTGTGTCTCAGCTGCCTGATGTTTTTAATCTTACTATATTCACTGCCTAGCAAATACAGCAGTCTGAATATTCACACATTACATTAACCTATAAATGTATTTCATTAAACAACATACATGCAAGGATAAAGGTTTTTACTAGAATTAGAGGCTTGACACTGCAATCATAATATATTCACAGATTTCATGAGTACATACTGGCACTAGATGGGAAAATAATAATTTTACTTGAATAATAACATAGCAAAAGATTTGGTCACTTGCATTCATGATGAATGAATGTTCATGATCCATGCTGATTGAATATTTTAATCGATGACAAATGAATCAAGCTTTGCCCTTCAAGTGAGAAAACTACCGAATTATAGAAAATGCAGCTAGTCTACATATGCAAGCTATTTTCCTGCATTTCCCTGCAGTACAAACAGCACAGTAAATATGGCAATGTACCAACATCTATCTCACTGAAGAGAAGGGAACAATCCTGAAAATCAATGTATTGCAGTTCCCATCTGAATATGGCCAAAAGAAGGTTACAAAGTCATCCAATGCCTGTGGGTCAGCTAAACCATTAAAAACAATGGAAAACAAACACGTGAGCACCATACCCAAGTATATAATATATGTATTATATATACGTATATATAGAATAACATCTCTATATTCCACAAAAATATATATTATATGTATATATGAAAAAATTAAACTGTTCAGCAACTAAAATCATTTCCATTTACTGTTCTGGACACTGTGCCAGATATACAAATGAATGCAAAAGATTCTACAAGGAACATAGCCACCTGATAGAATATCCACAAACAAGGACGCCTGCCAGCTCTCTGCATCTTGCGGAAGAAATAAGCTTAACATTTTTCTGAAATCTGAACTCCTACACGATCTCCAGGAGAGAAGCCTGCTCCTCTTCTGCTTGCTTAACTATAAACAACAACAACTTCCATTATATACCACCCTTAACACAGGATAGCGTCTTGGAGCGCTTGGAAACATCATACCTGATTCGCAAACAATGGATCCTGGTTTCAATTCCAACATCATCACTATCATGGAGATATCAGTGGAATAAAGGATCTGGGTCCGGTGAGGAAGAGTCACAGTCCACAATTCTGGAGTGGGATAGAGTATATACACCCAGCCTCCCTTGCTGCATGTAACCTTTGACCCATATTTCTTGCCAATTAGATCTGCTGAATGCTTGATCGCCCCGTATTTGGTCTGAGTAGCTCCACCGCTCTTAACCTTGATTGCAAACATGGAGTCATGGCCCAGGAAGACGATGGCTATGTCACCATCTAGAATAACATCTCTATATTCCGCAAAACTCATGTTTGATTACGGATTTGTGTTCTAAACCTAGAAAGGAGGACATAAGGAGAAGAAAAATGTATATTTTTATATCACTTCACAAGCAAGGTCAGTGTGTTAAAAACAATGAAGAAATCCAGTAGAATGGACACTCTTTAAAAACAGCAGTCATAGGATTTGAGACACAGCATGGCTTAACCTTGAAAAAGGTGACCACTGAAGCATTCACTTTAACAATCTTACCCAGCAGTGCTGGCTTCTCCTGTCTGTCTAGAGAGCTTCACTGGTGAGAAATTCACAAGCATTCAACGATACCTCTAGCGCAAGGATAGAGTGTCCTTGACACAGGTGATGAATAGGAAAGCAGGGAATGCCTTGGTAAGTTGCATACATTTTTTTCGTCCTTGTAAAAGTAAGGTGACATTAACAAATGCAAATATATAGCAAAGAAGCTGCACTATTCACACTGGGCTTCCCAAGAAAATAAATCCTGACTCTAATGCAGAATCCAAGGAGGAGTTGAGACATCTGTCATTGTTCATTTGATCGCACTTCCAAATACTAAACCTGAAAACAGAAAATGTAGGTGGTGGAGGGGGGGAAGGGGATAAAAACATCTATTACTGACTTATGGCTATTTGTGGCATCTTGCTCACAACTTGCTGCTGCATTTGCCCACGGAAATGATCATGGCACTTAATAGTAACTAATCATGAAGTGCTTGGAGATGTTCTCACATGATAAGGTTCTATAAAAATGCAAGCATGCAACTCTAACTAGCAAATATTTCTATATTTGGGGAATATGTTCATACCAACAAAAACACAAGTTTGTTCTTTTATTATATACATATATCGCTTAGAGGACTTTATAATAATAAAACATTAGTAAAATGCCTGCACATGAGGTTTCCTTTGTCAGAGTGCACTGGCACGAACTTAACAGTTGAGTGAACCGTACATTCTCACATACATTCGCTCTCGTTACTCCATTCCTGAATGTATGATACCAGTCTCACTTTCACAGATTAGGGTTATTTTTGAATCCTGAACACATCCGTACTAATTTTATGCATAAAATTTTGTTTACAATTACATCAACTGAGGGAAAACTATGCCACAGAATATTGTAGAAAAAAAACAATCTTCCTCCCTCCCCAATTGCATTTTTTGTTTCGCCTTCATTCCTCAATTTGTTTTCAATTTAACCGGTTTCTGTATTTCCATGTGAAGAAAAACAACAGGAAGGCCAGAAAATGCTAGTCCGGGACAAACGAAAATGGCCAGAAAAATATCATATAAATGTTTATTCCTTTATCTGTGTTCTCGTGCAGTCCCTTGTCCCAGAATCCTTTTTTAGATTTACTGCACAAATGGGAGTGTCTGGGTGACAGTAACATTGCAAAACTAAGGTCATACATTTGCTCTAGTGAGATGTCTTGCTTGGATTTCCTTTCAGATTGAGAGGATTCAAAAACTAGGGGTAGATGGACTAGTCTCATTATTGAGCTTCTACTCCCTAATTTGGGGTGTTGATTGAGCAATTTGTGCAGTGGATTTTAAAAAAGATTCTGGGCCCGCCTGTCTACTTCCCAACTCTCATGGTCTTTGCTGGCTAGAATGCATTTGCACGGAATCATAATAAGCATTCCAGTTTGTAAGTTAAACAGAACCCTGATTAAAAGCACTTGGCAGTACCTCAGGGTTTGGTCAGCTTACATTCCCCTGTTCTTACGGAAAAACGCTCAGAACAGTCATTAGCAGCATTAGTACAAAGACCATGATGCAACTACTGAACTGCAGTAGTCGAGTTCATTTAAGGAACATGGGGCTTTTCCCACTGCTAATGTCTACTGTCTCGGCCAATAGGGTTGCTGGAAATCCAATAAACGAGAGTACTAAAGTCCACAGCTCTAAACGGGTTATGAAGAGGTCAAGACGCATTCTCTAAAATTGGTGCCTTAATTAAAGGAAAAAAAACAAGGGCAAAAAGGACATGGTGCCTGATGAGCATCTGTAGAATCTTCTCCTTGGGCAGAACAAGAACCAACAAGAGCATCTTCTGATGACTGTTCTATTCTGAAACAGTCATCCATTTTACAACTCCCAAAACAGCTAGAACATCACCCTTCAGTAAATACATACTGAACCGCTTTACTGGTACAAATCTGTAATTAACATTTCCTCCAGACTGCTGAGTTATTCATCCAAAACAAGTATATTACACAACCCCTATGCTCGAAACTTCAGAACTATTCATCCAATCACCAAGGCTCGAAGATAAACTGGGATTTAGAATGTGGACCGCCCAATGTAGTGTTCTTGTACAAGTCATACAAAGGTGGTTTTTTTTTGGTTCAGCAGAAGATTGAGTTACATTAAATTACAGTTCTGGACTATTTAGATCCATCTAAAATTGTGGTCCAACTACACTATAAAATATCTACCTCTCTGAGCATTAGAATTATTCAACTGACTATTACTTGATGCCCGACCAAGGTTACAAAACATCTAGCAATATGCAAGATTGATTAAATACTCCCAGAGGTACAAAGTTTGTTTAATTCCTCAATTAGATATGGCACAAGTGGGGGGGGGGGGGGGGGGCAGTCCTAATTTTAGCAAAATGACAAATCAACTAATTTTAAATAGCTATAAGAAAACATAGTTCCAAGGGACAACACAAAAACTTCAGTACCTTAACATGAATCTTGCCAAGTGCTCAGGACAATTAGTAATATCTTTTTGAATGCGATCGCTCCAGTTACACTACTGAATTACACACATCACCCATTTCATTATCAAGACAACAAATGAGAGATTAGAATACAATGAAGACAAAAACACTTTTACTAAAAATAAAGTCCCACTACATTGAAACAAAGCTACATTTGTACAATCCAATTCTGCAGACATACTTTATTTTAAAAAGGTGAGACTCAGGAAAGGGGGATTTTTTTTTCCTGATAGCCTCTAACCCACAGGATACTGATAGGCTGAATGTCCAACAAAGCAGGACTAAGCAGAGGAAGAGGAGGCGGTAAGTGTACAGCTTGTTTTAAAATAGAAATTTGATATTAATGGTACATGCAATTGATGTAGTATTTGTTACAATGTGTTAATTGTGTGTTCCTCTCAAATGGAGTGAATTCATCGGTATGCATGACAGCTTGTCTGCATCAGCAACATCCACAGACAGCAATGTGAATGATCAAATGAACTATGCACATTACACATAAACTTTGCATTTGGTATAGTGCCTACAATGTCAAATATCTCAAAATGGCTCACCAAGTTTCTGTAAATTACGACTATGTCCGCGAAGGAAAACATGGCAGCCAATTTGCACACAGCAAAGTAAATGACCATTTTGTTTCTAGAGGAATGTTGGTTAGGACACCATGATAACCTCCCTTCTCTTTTCAAATAGCATCATGGGATGTTTAACATTCACCTGAACAAACTGACAAAATCTTGTTTGAACATCCAATACTGCACTCCCACATTAAGCTCAAAGTTCCAACCTACAATCTTCGGACCTAGAGGTTATGTTCAAGTTAATTTGGGGAAGCTAAAAACATACACACACACACACACACAACAAAAGAGAATTTACCTAAAATAAACCATGGTGAAAAACTAAAAGCAAAAAAGATGAATAGTTGTCGTCAGTGACAAGCAAACAAGAGCCAGATGGTACAAGGAGACGCTAAGTGAAAAACTCTTTAGGTGTCATCAAAATAAGCAGCAGACATGAAACAGAAAAGTTGTAGAAATACAGCAACGGGCATGATGCAAATGCATCTACAAGGTCAGCACTAATTCAACCACATGAACAATGGCAGATTAGGTTTTAACAATGTTAACTGAACTCAATTCAGAGGTAATCTCAAAATTCACAATGGGTTATTTGATTGCAACAACAACTTGCATTTTATGCAGTGCCTTCGCAGGGTGGTGTCTCGGGTGCGCTTTTTTAAAAAAAACACACATATTGGGTACCCCACACCAAAGTCTGATTTTACTTGGGTGGCAAATCAGTATCTAAGGCAATGGATGTACAGAAAGGTGCTTTCAACTAAGCATAGTATAAATTGGTCATTTTCAATCTACGACTGTTTGTGGGACATTGCTGTGCGCAATTGGCTGCCGCGTTCGCCCACAAATATACAGTCAATTCACTTTGCAGTGTGTTCTGTGAAGCGCTTTGGGACGTCCTCCCGACGTGAAAAGCGCTATATCAAATGCAAGGATTATTATTATTATTATTATCATTGACAGCTGTCGCCAGAAGCCAAAGCATGCACCCCATTACTCGAATGTCATTAGTTTATGATAACTTTCCATGAAAATATCTGAGTCAAACATACCACAGTTTGCATCAATAACGTCGCCCCTCTTGGACTACCCTTTCACCTTCAGGACCCCGAGTGAGTGTGCAATGCACAACTCATTTGAAATAACCGATGCGCAGGATTAAGAGCATTTCAAACCATCCCACCTGCCAGGGTTAAGAGTTCAAAATCCGGCCCACGATGGAAATAAATCCCCACTCCACTCCACCCCCTCTCCTGCGGCATTTTTTTTTTTTTTGCTTTGCTTTTGCTATCAATTCGGGCAGAGCGGCGGATTTAAAATCATAAACTAGTTCGTGTCACCACAGTGCGGGGCGGGAGGGGGAGTAAGACTCGAAGGTTAAATGTGTGTGTGTGTGTGTGTGTGAGAGAGAGAGAGGTAAACGAGCCCCTTTGCCTACAATGCCAAAGAAAAAAACCCCCCAAAAAAACTCAAGTGAAATAAGCCTTCGGACACGAGGGCGGCCCGGACCCGGGCCCGGGCCCTGTCCTGCACTGGGCCTCACTGCCCTGTCAGGGGGTGAGGTGAGGGGAGAGAGACTAACACCAGCTCCGACCCTAACGAAGGCCACTGAGCACAGCTTAATATACATATACACACACACACACACACACACAACATATATGACCATAACAATCGCGAGCCCACCATGAACACGCCTCACACACACACACGCACGTTGGCCGAAGACTCACCAGGCGCCGCGCCGCTGACTGCGGCTGCTCGAGCGGGACCGGAAGCGGCCCCGCGTGACGGGGGGGGTGGGGGAGGGGGGGGGTGTGTGTGTGGGGGAGGGCGCGAGCGAGCGAGCGAGAGAGCCGATGACGCTGCGAACCCGACCCGCCTCTGATTGACGGCCGACGTCATAATGGGCGGGGCTTCACAAACACCCCACCAATGGGCGCGCGGTCCGAGCGCACTATATAATCCAATGGGAAGGCGCAGACACCAATCACAGAGACCTTGAGAGCAGTCCTTGGTGCAAAGGGAGAGAGAGAGAGAAAAAAAATATATATATAAGGGGAACTGCATATAGTCCATTGTTTCTTCTATTTCCTTCCACGCAGGAACACCCTCCCCAATATCCACCTGCACCCATCTGCTTGTCATTCAGGTAAGGTTATGATGTTTTTTTTAATTCTGGATGTTATTTTCTTTTCCTTTTGCAATTCGAATGTCACCTGAAACAGTTCATGGGATTGCACTGCCACTGTATCGGTTTCATTCAATAAATAAGAGTGGGGGGAGAGAGAGGGGGGGGATGAACTTTGCATTTTCTCTCTCCCCCCCACCCCCCCAAAAAAAAAACCCCAAATGTGTATCATCCAAAAATGATCAGGTTGGGCATTAATCCAGAGGAAGGATTCATTGCACTATTTAAATTTGCGGGTTTGTGAGTGTGTGCACACAAAAAAAAATTGTCTTGATATGTTTCATGAATTGTCGGTAAAGTATTTGGGAGGATTTTGCTTTTACAGTAACGGGTTTTTGTAATTTTTTTTAAATTGTGGGCTCATTTTACTGTTGTACAATTAGTTTTTTTTCCTCCCCCCCGAACCTATTATAATAATAATAATAATAATAATAATAATAATAATCCTGTATTTTGGGAATGCGTAGTTGTCAATGCAGGAGAATTCTCCAGAGCATTAGCCAAAAGGGTAAAGCGATCTCTGCATTGTAACACAGGGGATTGAAGGAATTTATCTTGCATTCATGTTGTGAGCACCAAGTGGGGATGGGATGGGATGGGGTGGGGGTGCTCCAGGGTAGAAGATTTGCTGGGTGTCACTGCTTTGGGTTTGCACAGCGCACCCCTAACCCAATCCATCCCTCCTCTCCCCTCCGCCACTCCTTCCACTTCCAATTATCATTTTAAAGGCAATTAAAATTTTTTTTTGCAAACTGCAGAAGAGAATCCTCTTATAGCGACTTCAGTTGAATCCGTAAAGAAAAAAAAAGAACTGTGTGTGTGTGTGTGGGGGGGGGGAACGACTTTCATCTGTGAAATCCAGATCTTTGCAGTGGAAGATCTATCTCAACGTTGTTGAATGTTCTTTGACGCATTGTCTGGAGAGAGAGAGAAGGGGGAAAGAAAAAAAAAATTCATTTTGCATTACTTTTTTTTTGTCGAAAAAGGAGTTGGGGGGTGGAACTGTAAAGGCAATGCCCAAATGGGATGAAGTAACCCGTAAACGTCCTGTAATTCGTCCCCAGGCAATCAATGCACCAGGACTCCCAAATGCAATCAAAAAATGCGACTTGTGCAAATTCAGTGGTGATGGTTAAACCGAGAGTCGCACTGAGTGAGACCCAATGTCATTTGAAGGAGCCAGTGGTCCACTTAGTAATATGTAACAGTTTGCTGCAAAGAATTTGCAAACTTTTATTTTTGTGTTGAAATGACCAAATGGTGCCTTGGTTAAAAGTGATGGGAGTGGGAGGAGAGAGAGAGAGAGAAAGAAAGAGAGAGAGAGGTGAAGAGTATGACTTTGCTCAATGGCATGAATTCCTCATCTAATAAATCGAATCCATTTCTACTTGGAAAATACGCGGTGCTTTCCTCCCCTCCCCTTCCCCAAACTACCAACGACCGAGCACAAAACGATGCACCTGGTTAGGCGGGTTTCATTCCAGGGAATTTGCACCCGAGTTTGCTTTTGAATCGGAAGTAATTTTCTAAAACATTTATTTATTTTACAGTAAAAAAAAACGGTAACCATGCCATTTAGCAACAGTCACAATCTGCTGAAGATGAAATATTCAGCCGCAGAAGAATATCCGGATCTGAGCCAGCATAACAACTACATGGCTAAGGTCCTCACCATGGACCTGTATAACAAAATGAGAGACAAGCAAACCCCCAGTGGATACACTCTTGATGATATTATTCAGACCGGTATTGACAACCCAGGTAAAATCAGCCTCTGATTTGCCATCTGCTTTCCTGCCATACGTCTGCTGCTCCACCGGACACCCCCTCCTTAACCTTAACAAAGAGTTAAATTTGCTTTCAAGTTAATTGGAAGAATTTATCCGATTACGATCTTAAATCCGAACCCGACAAGCGCCTGTCGGCAATTAAACAATTGCATAAGAGGCGAGACCCTTTGAGAAATAAAAGAAAATCGCTATGAATATTGTTTTATAGCATTTCTGCATATATATAATATATATATATCCATATCTCTATATTTTAACGCCTCCCAGTAAACATTTGCAAAGGATTACAACTATTGCAGCTAACGGTGAATGTGGTGGTTCAGCGCTTCAGTATTTGCAGGAAAGTGGATGGTGTTTTTAGTGAGTTTTGGCCTAACCACCGCTGTTTCGTTTCATTTGTGTAGCTGCTCTCACCGCACCTCCAAATGGCCACCCTAAAGATAAAGAGGCTGTCGGCAGAAGAGGAGTTCCCCGATCTAACCCAACACAACAACTACATGGCTAAAGTACTCACACTGGATATCTACAACAAATTGAAGGACAAATCAACTCCAAGTGGCTACACCTTGGATGATGTAATTCAGACTGGGGTTGATAATCCCGGTAAAACGTCTTAGTCGATCAAAAATACTTCTTTAATGGTCGCTGTTAGAATCCACATTCAATAAGAGGAAACAAAACCTAAATTTGTCAACCACTTCTGACACGTGACTTCTCTAACATTTCCCATCAGCCAAGGGTGTAGTTTTGCACTGTCACTTTACACTTCTTTTTTAAGCGACATTTTTTTCGCCCAAAAAAACCTTTGCTTGAGAATACTGCCGCTTTTTTAATGTCAATTTTTAAAACTCCCAATTGTTAGCTTCCCATGTGAATGCATTTGAGGACATGATCCATAGTACCAGGGTGAGGTGAATGTATAAAAAAGATAATATTGCTGCAAAAATGTCGAGTGTTTTAGGGTTAATGAATTCTGATGAACTGTTGCAGCAAAATCCCGTCGTGTGTTCTTTTTTACCCTCCATTTAAATTGAATTTTTTTGTTTTACAGTGATTTGTTGATTAACCTTCAGTCTGCTGGCAATCCACAAAATGATTTGATTACAGCTGATGTCTATATATAGGAGGCTAAGGATTAAGGAACCTTCTATAGTGTAGATTGAGTTTTCTTTTCTCTCCTATACAGGTCACCCATTTATTATGACTGTAGGCTGTGTTGCTGGTGATGAAGAAACCTATGAGGTCTTCAAGGATCTCCTTGATCCAGTGATTCGGGACCGTCATGGTGGATACAAACCCACTGACAAGCACAAAACTGATCTGAACCCTGCGAATCTCAAGGTCAGTCGCTGACTAACTATGTTGTAATGAAATCTAATCTTTGCTTCCTGGTAAATTGTATGCACTTTTATTGAATGTGAGATTCTGACATGATCAATGTCAGTTATAAATCTATGGTTGCCTCTCATTCTGCCTTTAATCAGGCAGAGGCTGCTTCTCAGCACAATTACGTTGAGATAAGTAATAAGCAAAGGTAGAATTTGAAAGGCCATTGAACATTTAATGGTCTTTTAGTTTTGAGTAACTTGCACAATCCACCTAGAGCTTAGAGTTTATTCAGGCACACCTTATTGTACCTTGCAAATTGTACTCTTTTGTGAAGCTACAAAGTAAATGTGATGAGTAAAACTGTACTGTGGTTTTATGTCACCAAATGCACACTTAAGCTACGTGCTTACTGTCACGGGTTTCTGTAGAGCTGCCTCATATACAATAAAACCACTTCCTTTCTTTTCTCCCTGGCACTTTTTTTAACACATTTAGAATTGAGCTGTGTTAATAAGAGATTTCCCCCTTGCGTTAGGTGCATTTTTGTATATTCTGCAGATCTTTCTCCCCCCTACCTCCTTGCTTGATTTGTTTGGGAAGCCTCCGTTTTCTCTTAACACTTCCACCACCCCCCACCCCAGTCCTTGGATGACTACCTTGCTTTTCTAGGAAAATTCCAAACCTTTCTTGCATTTTCATTGTAAACAAATGTTGGTGGTAGAAATGAACCAGATTGCCTTTCGTTTTGTGCACTATTCACATCCCAGTAGCAGCTGCAGGACACTGTTGCCTAATAAGGTAATAAATCACAAACAGTTTATCTTTGGGCACAGTCTAATTTGGGCAAAGGATGAAGCCAAGTAATGACCGAGTCTTTCCAATCCATTTCAAGTTTGTTCAAAGAGCAGTTTATTACCCTGAATCAACTTCATATTAAGCAGAAGATGTATCTGATCATTTAAAGCCATTTTTAGTCCTGGCATTTCCTGACTTTCATTTCAAACCTGTTTTAGGGTGGAGATGACCTGGATTCCAACTACGTGCTGAGTAGCAGAGTGCGGACTGGGCGCAGCATACGTGGTTTTTGTCTGCCCCCTCACTGCAGTCGAGGAGAACGCCGTGCCATTGAGAAGCTGATCGTGGAAGGTAAATGTGAAATGGACATCATTTGTTAATGAATCCTGCCAACAGGGAGCCTGTGCTTGACAAGGGCAAAACGTTTACTTCAATCTGTTTCTCTTTGGATGGTCACTGTACAGGTTCACCAAGCTCACACACAAGGTTCCTTTTCAAGATTCACGCTTCACATGTAATACTTTTTTTAAACTTGAAACCACTGGAAGATATTCATTTTAAATTTGAGCTGCTCACTTGATGTCAGCAGTAATGTGGCCCGATGCAGATGGCTTGTTAATTCATATAACTGGGATACCTTATTGGTTTTAATCTCGTAATGCTTGCATCCCAAGTGATTAAATACCCTTTCATTTTTGGGAGCAAAACAAGTTAAGTTGGTTAATTGCTCAAACAAAAATGTGACATGCACAAAGGTTTTGAAGAAAGATACTTTAAATCAATTGAGAATTGTTCAACTTCCAAAACTTTCAATCCAGTTGTGAACAAAACAATATAATCTAGAACATCAAAGTATCTGGAAACTGAGAACTGGAAGAGTTGAATGTTGTATGCTATTTCCTTAAATTGACCCGCTTATTGTCTTTCCGTGTTTCACTTCTCTTGCCTTACTCTTGAATCTCAAAGAAGCATTATTTTTTACCGCAGAGGTGGATGGGAGAGGAAATGTTTTGTATCGTGTTGCAATCTTTTGAACTATCTTGAATTTTACTGCCTAATTTTAGCATGATACGAATGAAAACAGGCCATTCAGCCTCCATGTGTCTCCTTGCCTCTTATGCTCCTCTCCTGTATCCTTCTATTCCCTACTTATAATCCAGAAGACTGGGAATGTCCGTTCTGTCCTCTCACACCCCTTTTTAAAAAAAACTAAAGCTAAATTGGATTCAAACTCATTCCATTCGAATTGAGAACACAAAAAATGTAAACACCAATCATATGTACTTCGTAAAATTCCACCCATTATGAGCAGTCTGTTAGTCTTAAAATGATTCATATCCTTTAATCAGCAAAGTATAACCAACATACTTGAAACCATTTATGGAAACAAATGTCTGTCTATTCAGTGCGCTTGTGACCTCTTTCTAAACTCTACAATGTTAGTGTTCGAAATATTTCGGCTGCCAATTTCAAAACCTAAAATGGATGCATGTTTTAATGGATACATGCATCAGTTTTTCTAAAGTGGAGCGAAGAGGTGAATCTTGAGGATATTCTTGAAATGTGTGCATAATTTTGCCTTTAATCTTTGCAAATAACCTGGCAATTAAACATGCTGCAATATACCTCTCCTGTTTCTTTCGATAACACATCACAAAGAACTGTCTCTCTTAATATTCATCTAGTTTCGTCCAAGCATAAGCTTTCCAAGTGTATTTTGTTCACAGTAAATTGATGACATATAGTTGATATTTGTTGTGACATCTTCAAAAGGAAATCTCAGCTGCAAATAGGCTCAATAATATCTGATCAACTTGGTCTAAATTTGCAGTATGCAAAAGAACATATGAGATTATTTTAGCAAAGTTTTTCATTTTTACCTACGCAAATATTAAATTAGCAATTTTATCCAGTTGTATGTATGGTTTTTATTTCTTAATGTCTGAGGTTGTGTATAGCAATTTTGTTTAAAAAATGTAAAAAAAAATCATTGTTTTACTGAAAAATCACTTTAGAGATTTGTGATCCCAACTTTCAAATTGTTTATTCACCACATGAAATAAAAGCCTTTTCTTGCTTCAATCTCAACTAGCACTGGGAAGCCTGGATGGTGAATTCACTGGAAAATACTATGCTCTGAAGAACATGACTGATCAGGAGCAGCAGCAGTTAATTGACGACCACTTTCTGTTTGACAAGCCAGTATCTCCGCTACTCTTAGCCTCGGGAATGGCCCGTGACTGGCCTGACGCCAGAGGCATCTGGTCAGTTCCTGTTAGCTTTTTTTTAATGAAATTTATTGGGTAATTGTTAAAACTTGCAGCACTTCACTAGTTTGGGATATGCCAATCCCTATCCAATGGTATTTTCTGTGTTCCCTATTGCTGCTTGGATACACAGAATAACAACATTCTCACCATTCTTCTTTGGGAGAATTCATAGAAATCTAGTGTGGGTAACTGAAACCTCGGTGGGCATTTATGTTTATTTTCCTTTTAAATCTCTGGCAATCCACTGGGGAGTGTGGTTGAATTGAGAGCGTAGGGAAAACATTTTCTTGGCAAAATAAGTACTGCTCTTTGAACTTTGATCGCTGCAAATAACCAAACTTTGCAGAGGCAAAGATACGGCATGCCAAGAACAATGGTTTTATTTAAAAATAATTTGTCTTTGCGCTTTTTTTTTTGTTCCCTTTCTCTTCAAATCATTCTTGGCCACACACGGAGGGGCTGGGCAACCAACCATGATGGCATCTGCTAATGCGACCAGTTATGGGAATAAATCCCTGACTTGTGTCCAGATGATGCAAGTGTTTGTGGACTGTCCATTCTCACCAAAACCACTACACAAAGTAACTGGTCAAGGAGCATTCCATCCTGAAGATTTAAGGAGGTGGAATAAAAATACATCATAGAAAGAATGCTCTAATATTTGTCCAGGGTTTAGATGAATAGGTTCAGCCAGATTGAGCTCAAATTCTTACAAATCGAAATTTGGCCTATTTTTTCTCTCTCTGCATTCTCTCCTGCGCCTCTCTCTCCCCCCCCTCCCCACCACACTGCATTCGTCAATTCAGAACAAACTCTCCTTGTACTCGGCAATTGCAGGTTTGACCTGATGATGGTACTCATTCATAAGGAGAAACATCCCAGTATTCTAGTCTTTTGAGTTTGAGAGACTCAAGGGCGTGAATGTGGCGAAGCTGAATTTTTCTTTACAAATGTCCTTTTTTTTTTAAAGTTGCTGGAGTTTAGTACTTGTTTGATACTCAGTTCAATGCTTTGACTTGATGTACATATTTTTTCTAAAAAATCTTCCAGGCACAATGATGATAAAAGCTTCCTAGTTTGGGTAAACGAAGAGGATCATATCCGAGTCATCTCCATGGAGAAAGGTGGAAACATGAAGGATGTCTTTAACCGTTTCTGCACTGGGCTGGCAAAGGTACAAATCCCAACTCGTGCAAATTTAGAAAGCGGGTCGAAAGGCAATGCTTGTTGATTTACTTTCCCACCCACACTTTTTTTTTCCTCCCCATAAAGATTGAAAATGTCTTCAAAAACAAGAACCATGCGTTTATGTGGAATGAGCATCTTGGTTACGTTCTGACGTGCCCCTCGAACCTGGGAACAGGTCTCCGTGCTGGGGTCCACATCAAACTCCCCAATCTCAGCAAGAATGACAAATTCGGTGATATCCTGAAGCGACTCAGGCTGCAGAAACGTGGCACAGGTATGTATGTCTCCCTCAGAACATGAAGCAGGTGGCACCGGATTCACTGAGCATTGATTACATTTGTGGGAAAACCCATCTTGGGCAGATAACTGAAATTGATAGCCAGTCTTTATTTGATACAAAACTCCTCTAATCAGACTTGCTCTCTTTTCGGTAGTTAGAGCCCAGATCCCTTTATATAAATTGTACTCCTGATGATAATAATAATCCTTGCATTTGATATAGCACCTTATCAGGCTTCGAGACGTCTCCAGGCGCTTCACAGAATATTCTGTAGTGAATTGGCTGTATATTTTGTGGGCAAAATTTCTAATAAGCAGAATTGACTGTAACCAATTATATAGTATTGCTACCTCTTAAAATGTATGTCATGTTTATAATCTAGTTGAATTATAAAGAGTTTTAAAATCTGAATTTTGAAATCTGTTCAAAACTGATGGATTTTAAGATTTCTCTGAAATCTAAACACAAGGAATCACTCTTGTTGTGTAGGAGTTGCAAGAGGTTTCTGATGTTGATCTGTTGCTGTTTCATTGCCAGGTGGTGTTGACACTGCTGCCGTTGGCGGTGTTTTCGATGTCTCCAATGCTGACCGTCTGGGCTTCTCTGAAGTTGAACTGGTTCAAATGGTGGTCGACGGCTTGAAGCTGCTGATTGAAATGGAGAAACGCCTTGAAAAGGGCCAGTCCATTGATGATCTCATCCCAGCTCCGAAGTAAAGTCACTTTATCGCACAACTTCTAATCTATTCACTGGATATATTATAAAATTATAAAAACCTCAAGATGCCAGTCTAGGTTGGACAAAAAAGTCCTAATGTACAAGTGTCACACATACTATCTGTAGCAAACTTCTTCCATAAGTGTAGTAGAAATTAATTCTGGAAGTTTTGATCATTGCATTGTTCTTGCTCGTGATGGATTTAACAAAAAACGAATAAACATACTTTGGTCCCTACAAATGAGTGCATGGTAGTTTTCTTACAAATTGGGTTGACCTTTGCTTTATGGGTCAGGCTGCTCCTTGTGTTTTAACTGTTTGGTAGCTTCTGCATCTTTTGCTACTAACTACTGTACTAACATGAATTCCTGCTTAAGATCATGACTGATTTTCAGATTCTGGGTGCGATCTAAATCATTCACCTTGTAAGGGTGACATTGCAAAAGTGCTTGGATACTCAACACGGCTGATTGCTAATGTCCTATATGTCCACTCTTAATGACTAATTTAAGACCATCCAATGAGTTTTTTTTTCTTGAAAGTGCAAATTGAGTGGATTAAAGAGTCAATATTACTCCAACAATACTACTGTATTTGTATAACAAATTGCTTACATAGCAGTTTAATTTCTATCCACAGCATTAATGAGCTGGTGCATTTGTTGGGATGGGTAATTATTTCTTTTTAACTTACTAAGTTATCCATCAACTTGCCACATGTGGAACTAATGGTGTTCACAAATGTCCAACTAATAGAGCACCATGTTAATTAAGTTACTTGGTTTATATCCTAAGCCATGTTGGGTCCCTAGTTCCTCTTAAGCAATGCATCAAGGGAACTATTTCTATTTTTATAAGCATATGTTAATGAAAATTAGCTTTTTATATATAAGCTATTTAAATTCCAGAACAAATATTTAAACTTTTAAAAAATTAAGCTGATCTGTATGCAATTTGCAACACAAGCAGTACTGCTGAGCTGGGTAAATGTGACAACTCTATAAGAATTTTAAACTCTCAAACGAATCACTTTAGCTGCTTTGGTAGAAAGATTTAATTTAACATTCAATTTAAGAAATGCAGTTTGAGATCCAACATTAAATTGTACAATTGTATTTCATTCACGGCTTATCATTGGGGTTCCCTGGAAATTCATTACATAGAAAGATCTGGATTTTTTAATTTTTACTCTACAATGGTGCTGTAATGTTAGATAAACTAAGATTTAAACTGTTTGAAACTTTAACTTGACTTCACTTTGCATAAGAATAAGGCGTTGAATTTGTGAGGTGGGTATAAACACACTAAAATGCTTCTGCTCATGTTAATTTCAATGCTAAGTGCTTTCTTGAACAGCCTTTAAATTGTGCATGTGGTTGCTATCTTAAAGTGCTCGCGAATGGTTCATTTTCCAGAAAGCTTGCTTTGCAGCAAGGAAAATGTAAACAACTCTACAGCCCCTATCTAAAATTAATCTTTTTAGTTTTTAACACTTGTAATGCTGCATTCCATGAAGGATAAAGGTTGAATGAATGATTCTCCTTATTGACTGGTAGAAAGGGCATCAAATTGGAAAAATAACTTTCAAGGTCACATTCAGTTCAATGGTGGTTTATCCTTGTCAGTGCTGCTCGGTACTGGTTATGGATGTGGTTGTGTTGAGATCAGAATATTCAGTATAAGGCAGACTGGGACATGCCTACTGCATTGGCGCAGTGCTCTATACTGCACCACAGACCTCTGATCTGCTGAGATCAAAAAAAAAATACACTTACAATCTGAACTGTTGTATAGCTTCCTGGCTGAGGTATCTGGTCTTATTTACACAATGCCATATATTCTCTTAAATTCCTAAAATCAATTTGGAACCAAATTAGCCCTACAGTGCAAATTCTTGAATGCACAAAGCCAGAGTGTGACCCGCAGAACATTGATACAAAATAAAGCATAAGGTAATGTGCCTTAGTATATTTGCAATACGTGTAGTACAAGCATTAACAGAGTAACTGTCTGTATTAGAATGGGGGTTAAATTTCCACCCTTAATATCTTAAATCCGAGGAGAACATATCCCCAAATCTTATTGATATCTGGAAACTAGGACTGCAGCTACTTTTCAGACATTATGCACAGTGGAGCTAACTATTCAGCATATCAACATGCAGCAAAAGGTAGCTTTTACAGACCTTCCTGTGTTACAATTAACAAATACTAATTTGAAACATGGGTGCATGTAAATAAATTGGTTATTTTTTTATTGAAATATAACTATGGGCGCTAGAGTTCATTTCTCACTTGACCCTCATGGGAATTGTGTTCCACATGAGCTGTTACAGTCAATGGCTGTGACTCCTTCATGTGAGTTAGCCTCCAGTGGTAGCTAAATATGGACTGGTAGCAACTGGGTTAAAATTTGTTCCAATTTAGAAATCTGAAAGGCTGCTGTGAACAAAATCTGTGCAATTTGTATATACAGGTGCAATTGGCAACACTGTGCTCATATTAGACAGATTAGAGGGCTGGGCTCCGGTTGGAATGGCAATGGGTTGTATTTTCAGTTTCCCACTTTTCCCACAGAAATTCAAACCTTGAAGTGCAACCAGATCCTCCCAGGAATCAAGCAAAGACCTGCAACGTCCTATGAAGGTAAATTGAAAATGCTTTCCTTTAGTTGCTGTGAGAAGCTTCACATTTTCAACGAAGCATTTAAATCCCTAGGATTTATTACTAAGACTCAACTATGTCAATGTTTAAAAAGTGCAGAACATTTCCCAGGGGAGGAATCCGCAAAAGTTGTAAGTATTTCAATAGTGTTTATGTTTTTTTTAAAAAAGCAGAATTTGAGTATGGGCTTGATCTTGGTCTGTAGCTTGCTGAGAATCAGAGATGAGCCAAAATTAGATTGTTTCACTCATACTACAACTATGGAGCTAAAGGACAAATACTTAAAATTAACCAACCTCAATCAAGACTAGAGATTAAAAGGAATTTTAGCCTGCATTTTATTTACTGCATTTGCTTGCGGGGCCTGGTCAGTGAGAAGGAATCTTGTCCGAGGAGGAAAGATGGCCAGAGATTCTTAATAGAGACAGGTGAATGTCTTGGGAGATTTTCTTTTATTGTTCTCAAGAACCAGGCAGAATTTTACCATTGCAAGGAATCTGCAATAACCACAACAACAAGATTCCATTTGTATAACATTTGTGTAGCTCCTTTCACATCGGGAGGACGTCCCAACAGGTTTTGCACAGTCCGCAAAGAGAGTGGATGGTTGGGCTAAACAATATTTTTTCTTCTTTCATGCTAACCTGATTCCATTTAAAGAAAAAACGTTAGTCTATAATTCCTGATGCAACTATTTGTTAATTTGAACATAAACACATTTATGGTAGCAACGAGTGATGTGAGAACAAAATTTATTTTGATATATCTAATTCAATTTCGGAGAATTTCGTATATAGCTAGAATCTGATTATTTGAACCAAACCATGTCTAATTTAATTCTGTCGTTTAACTGCTTGCATTTCAACACGAGCAATTGTGTAATCATGTGCTCTATGTATGCTAGCATTGTTTTATTGGATTATTATTGCCTTATATAACGTGTTCTCTCCCCCCAACCTATCTTTCCAATTTGTTTTCCTGGGGCTCGCATCAACTTTCACAAGCAAGACCCATTGATGCTGCTATTGCCATGCTAAGGAAGTGCAATGGTTGAGTTTCTCTCGACTGTTTCTTATCCAAACTCCAAGGGCAACTCCTGTCCTCCACTCAGTGCCTTTGAACAGCAATGCAACTTAGAACGAGAATAGAACAGTGTAGATAGAGGAAATTTAACATGCATTATCCCAGACTATACTGGGAGTGTTTCAGTGCACTGCTTTCTACCTTTATGCGACTCTGAAGCTAGCAGTATTTTTAAATAAATGATTTTGTAAGGAAGGTTGATAGAAAATAACACTGTTCAAATATCTTACAGGTGCCATCAAAGATACTTGTCAAGCTTTTGATCATAAAATTAGAAGCATTTCTTCCATTGGCAACTGATTACTGTATTTTTTTAACAAAAAAACCTTTAACCTAGATGATTTTGTAAGAAATAATGATTTTTTTAAAAAAAAATGTCGATTTCACGAACAACTAAGAAAACGGATTATTAGATGGCAAAACTTTGGTATCAACTGGGTTTTACAACAGTTTTGATTTATCTACCTCGTGGTGGTTTGCAGGTCAAACCTTCTGATGGCTGAAACCACTGACTGATTGCATTAATCTCAACACGCACTTTTATGTACACCTTGCACTATGAAATTTAATAGATTTCTCTCATATTTCTGTTACAACAATATTTTTTACTACTTTTGAAATAATTTGTGGTTTTATTTTCTATGATCAGTTTTAATATTGTATAATGTGTGTGTGTGTGTGTGTGAAATTATGTTTTAACATTTTTAATTGTGTTCTAATCATTTTAGTTTGGTTTACATGTGGGATTTTATTTGTTTTTGCTCTGTTTTGTATTAAACTTTAATATGGAGTGTGACGAGCTTTTTCAGGAAGATATCTGAAGCTGAACTCTACAATTGTGTGTTCGTTTTTTAGATTTACGACTGCTAAATAAAATAGTTTTAAGACAGAAAGAAATCAGCTTGGATAATTTCACAATTCCCTCACCAAAGTCTAAAGCAGATGAATAAATTTCATGGGCTAATCTTGTCAATGAAATCAGTACAGTATTCCAGGTCATGTTATTTCAACATCAGTAAGGCAATGAAATGCGGTCAAGTTTTGTTCCAGCCCATAAAGACATGTTCATATTTTATGGTGGAAATGCATTGAACAGAACACTGGTGAATTATCCTGAAGTGGATTTCATTAAATAGTCTTATATATACTGGCTGGATGAAATAGATCTCCACTCCACTATTTTAAAACGCACAAAAATTATCAGGTATCACATCCCTATTGATAAGATGAGATCCACATTGTTGAATGTGGGTTGAGGACCCGATTGGGGGTGGTTTGGGATCAGTGGCGGTGGGATCAGGGAAGGCAGAGAGGGTGGGAGGGTGGCCAAAGGCACGGTCGAAGAGCAGGGTCTTGAAGGAGGCAAGGGAGGGAGCGAGGCGAAGGGAATGTGGGACGGAGTTCCAAACAGCGGGGGCAGAGAGACTGAAGGCGCAACCACGGATGGTGGGGCAAGCCGGGTGGGGGACATGAAGCACGAGATGGTGCGGGGCCTGGAGGAGAAGCCATTTGTGGAGACAAAGTGGAACCGGGATGAGAGGTAGGATCTGAACCATTCAAGGACAGAACCTTGAAGTTTAAGGTGAGGGGAGAGGCGGTGGAGGAGGATAGAGTGGTCCACAGTGTCAAATGTTGACCGAAAACCGACTTCAAAGTTGAGATTAAATTCAACAGTTTGCCAAATTCTGGACGCTTTAACCTGCTACATAAATAGAGTAAATCTAGAGCCAGGTGGAATATCTCCCCAAGGTTGTGTTATATTTGATCATCTTAAAGAAATACAAAACATTATAATTTGTCTGAATGCCACCTGGTGGCATAATAAATATTTTCAGGTATGTGGGAGTCTCACAGGAGGCAGTGCAGCTTTACTGTGGTTCACTGACACAGTGGATGGTAAAGCATAGAGCCCACGTGATGAAATAGTGATGAAATATGGTCCGAGCCATCAGGGATGGGTACTTCTTCACAGTCAAGGCAACATCCTACCTCTTACAGAACCTCCTAGTATTCAGCTCAAGCATTGGCAGAGCCTGTTCCTGGCATCCTGCAGCTTCCACCTCGCTTTCTACACAGCCTTTGATAGCCCCTCACGGACCTAGCTCTCCCTTGCTTCCGCAGCCAGACACTTTGGCACTAACACGTGAGCGGGTCACCTCCCATCCCTCACATAGGCTGTGGAATGGTACGGACTTTGTTTATTATGGAACAGAGCCCATTCCAATCCTCTTATTATAATCCTCGCATTTGATATAGCGCTTTTCACGTCTTCTAGATGTCCCAAAGCACTTCACAGAACAGACTGTAAAGTGAATTGACTGTATATTTGTGGGTGAAATGCGGCAGCTACACTGAAGCCCTTCTGTGAAGCGCTTTGAGACGTCTCAAAGATTTGATAAGGCTCTGTATCAAATGCAAGGATTATTATTATAATCCCTGCCAAGATCCCATCCTCCTGTTTAAGCCTCAACAAAGTTTTAAATGGGTGGGGGTTTTATGCTAAATTGTTGCCCAGAGTGAATTGGTGCCCCCATTTTACGTTGTGGGGAAGCAATCTGCTATTGTCTGCAATAACTACCCAAATATGGGAGACAGGATTCTGCAGTATCCTATGGAAAGAGCAGGATACAGTGCTACTCATCCAGCCTGTGCAACTCTATTGACTTAGAAAAGGCTATAAAAAGGCATGTGGGACTCCTAGTTTTATTTATAAGGGCATAGGATACAAAAGCCAGAAAGTGAGGCTAGATTTATGCAAGACATTGATTAGGCTGCTGCTGGAATACTGCACACAGTTCTGGAAACCACTTTATAAAATATATATCAAAGCCCTAGATAGTACAGTAAGTTCACAGGGACAAAGCTTGCAATATTATAATTGGCTGAAAATATCTGTAGATGTTTTACTATAACAGAGATGTGCTTTTTTTTCCAAAAAAAAGAGATTTAATTGACTTGTTCACAGTTCTGAAAGGTTTCAAGAGGATAACTTATGAAGGATTAGTCCCGCTGATTGGTAAACCTGTAATGGGATTTCACAACAGGGTTTTGCTGAAAAAGTTAAAGGGAAGATTAGAAGGTTTTTTTTGTCTAAATCATAACATTTAAAGAAAATTGCTTATTATATATTAGTTGAAGAGACACAATTCAAAAAAGGACAGGCGATGAGAGAGGATTGAGATTAGAATAGGTAGCTCCAGTGGTTTGTTCCATTGGCCTTTTAAGCTATCATTTCTATTGAGTGTACTTTTGTTTTATTCAACAGGGAATTGTATCAAACCTTAACATTAAAAGGTTTACTTTTTAAAAGGTCACAATTTCGATTTAGACAGTTTAATTTTAAGGATGTTGCAATGCAATAATATTGTTGTAAAATTTTAACTTTGCAACATCTTTAAGACAGCTAAACTATGTTGACGTTTAGTAGTTATTATTATCCTGTTATAAAACATTGGGAAAATGCTGAAAGACATCAATATAGCTTCAACTGACATTGTCATTTTGTATTGTCAAACATTAGTGTTGATTTTGCTTTAGTTTTGGTAACGATGTGATTTATTTTCACAGCAACTAAATTCAATGACAAGTGAATGGCCTGTCTCCTCAAAGAAAGCTAGTTAGTTATGTGTGGTGAATTCAACTTCTGTATTATTACGTGCATGATCAGGTCGTCTAAGAAGGCACTGGAGGATAGAGTTCTCTCCCTATTCTAAGTCAATGAGCAGATTTCTGCCCCGTCTGTCTGGCCTGAGACGTGAAGAATGACTAGTTGAATGAGATGCCAGAGTGCAGATGGCGCCTGGGGAACCTTTTTCCATCTTAAGTCAGCGCTTTCTGGAGAGGACGGGTGGGGGTAGGGGGAGCAAGCGTTAGCTTTGTTTTTGTCTCGATGCTGAAATTCTTGAACAAATCTGACCGATTTGTGCAAAGTTTTTCTCAGCTGACTGACTTGAGATTTAATTAAAACTAATTGATAGGAAAATTTAAGCTTTTAGCACAGGAAAGAAATACTTTAATGTGCTTTGAGAAAGCCCAGCCGAAACAAAGCTGGTTCTGTACTATTATTCAAGCTTGACCTGTTGGCATGGCAATGCAGGATTCACAGGCAACACTAGGATTTCTTAGTTATTGTTCCATTAAAACCAAGCAGCCATCATTTATCCAGATCTAGATATTGCCTGCCCTGCATATAATAAAGTAATATTTGCATTTGATGCAGTGCCTTTCATTTATGGGGGGGAGGGGGGAAGAAAGAAGGCAGAACAAACAATCCATAATTTTGTCTAAAGGTACACAATAATGCATTTCCACACTAAGATGAAGTTTGCCCAAGCACTTTTGATGAAGACAGTGTTCATTAGGATTATGTGGTTGTTTTCAGGGCAGGCTCAAACCATCGGATTGTGGATACTTTTATCGGAGATTATTTCTTCCACCAATTTTGTCTTTGATTTGTCGCTGTAACTCTCTTCTCTTCCCCTGAAGGCAGGGTCACATTGAGTACAGTTCTGCTGGCGGTGGTGAATATTAGCCAAAGACCCATTCATCACACAAGTCTAATAAGTTCTCTCTGTCTATTTTGCCATAGCAACCTTCAGATGTGAGCCTGACTATCCTTAGCTGAACATCTGTACATGTGTGTTTCCAGCTGAGGATACAGGACATGTATCACAAGAAGACACCCTGGCTTATTTTTTTGCTTCACTACATTAGCGACAGCCAATTGCTGTATTTCAGCTGTAGCCCTGACTGAGATCAACTAATTTAGTGCAGATTTTTGATTGAATCCCCGACTCTTACTAACCTGTGTGGCTGAGAGGCACATCATGGGGTGCATTAACCATTGGGTCTTTGGGGAGCGAAGATTTATTAGGTCATTGATGGCATGTAAATATTTATTAATTTCATTTGGTTAACACTTAAAGCATTCAGTAACTAAAACTAAATGTACAAACTTCCTTCTGACATCAGCAAAATCAATTTAACACAAATGTATTTACTTGAGAGCGCACCAATAGTCCGCTAAATTAATGTTTAACCACATGCACAAGTTAGCTCTTGTTTCCCCTCCCCTTCATGTGTAACCATACATTGGCAAAACCGTTGCCAGGAAACGTGACAAGATGCAAATGAACAAACAGAGATTTAACGCCACAAAAGCTGTCCTTTGTGCTTAATCATTCCATTCACCTCCAACTCTTTGGGAAACAGACTGCAAGGTCAAAACTATGACGCTTGGATTCCAATAAATTAGGTTTACATTTCCTTTTCCAGGGGTTAATGAATTTCCGAAGCAGATTTTGGAGATGCTGTGGTTAAAATAATAAAATAAAATGCACACCTCCGCAGAGCATTGCAACACGACTTTGTTCAGAAATATATCAATAGAGCTGAAAATACGAAACTAAAAACCACCAACGCTCCATGATCTGAATTCTAATTGATATCCATTCAAACCAGTTCAACAGGCTGGCTACTGTGTAGTGTGAACTGGTTCCAGCTGGAAGGCAATCAATAACGTTACCAGATCAGTACAGGTGCATTATGAAAAGCATTGTGAATTCCTAACCTTAACAATTATATTTTCTATAGGAATTGTATCGTCATCTTCAAAGCGTGCAAATGTGTATCACTGACACTACATTGGGTAAGATCATACTCTGTGCACTCACAATCGGAACAGATGGGTAGCACTACATATGGGTGCAGGGTTGGCTTAATTTATCCTTTGCGCCTGCAACAAGTACTGTCACTACACATTACTATGCATTCTGTGAAGCGTTTTGAGACATTCTCTTGACGTGAATGGTGCTGTATCAAATGCAAGGATTATTATTATTATCAGTTGAATATAGTGGGCTGAGCAAGGAAGAGAAGGGAATGGGAATG